GACCCAGATGGTTTTGAGGAGTGCTGGTCAGGTACTCTGTCATATCGCCCTCAGTGGGGCTGGTTTGGTGTTTTTCTCACAATTAAACTGGGATCGAGGGTCACTAGGAGAAAGAGCAGTGGGCCGTTTCCAACACGTCCCGTCAGGCGTGCCTGCCGGCGGGACTCCTGGCTGCCGTGCTGACCCGGATCCCCGGCCCGGCTCGTGCCGTGAGGCGTGCCGGCCAGCGGGGCTCCTGGCTGCCGTGCTGACCCGGATCCCCGGCCCGGCTTGTGTCGTCGCGTTTCTCTGTCTGCCTTCCTCACTGTCCTCCGTGGAAGGTGTCTTTAAGCACAGCCCTCCCAAGAGGGGTGACACTTTCACTTCACCTCCTGGAGGCTGAGTATCTTTGCCCTGGAGATCATCTGTTCTCTTTTGTGTCAGGATGGACTTCTGGATTTTTTACTTTTATTAGTTAACTTATTTGGCTGCATCGGGTCTTGGTTGCGGCATGGGGTTCCCCAACCAGGGCTTGAACATGCCCCCAGTGTTGGGAGCGTTGAGACTTGGCCACTGGGCCACCAGGGAGGGCCCTGGATTTGTATTTTATACTTTGGGCTTATAACCCAGCACGACGTTATTTTGTGGCTCAAGTTGTTCAGCTTTGACCACCGGGATCCCTCTCAGTTGGACCCTGTGTCCCTGAGCTGTGCCCCCATCATGGGGACGACGTCTTTCGTCAGGCGCTGGGAGGGAGGGCCTGCGGAGCCTGGGCAGACACCGCCTGGGTGTCGCTGCCCGGGAGGAGAAGCACGGCGCGCTCTGCCGGGCCAGCCCTTGTCCCTGCGCCCGCTGCTCAGCAGAGGCAGCGCCCAGCACAGGAGCAGCGCTCCTCGGGCAGGCGCTCTGGGTGGTTTTGTGTGCGCGAGAGGAGACCCGCCGAGACGGGAGTCCTGAGCACCAGTGTCAAGTCAGCCTGCACGCACCCTGTCACCAGAGCCTGAGCGGGAATCCAGGCAGGAGGGCGGGGTGCCGGGGTTTGCGCACTCCCGCTGCCAGCACGGGTCTTGCGTGGGCCCTGCTGCTCCCCAGCATGGGGGTCCTGAGGTGGGGGGGTGAGGGCAGTGGGCAGGGAGGAGTGGTGGGGTGCTTCCTGAGGCCAGGGCCGTGCGCGCTGGCCTGACCTGGCTGCCCCTCCCCGCCGCGTCTGCGCCCGTGTCTCTGGTCTCCTAGCTGCAGCCACGCTGGACCCACAAAAGTGTGAACTGAAGATGAAGACGCAGCGAGAGCTTGCCCTGCTGGGCTGCACGGCTGTGCGCCTCCACCTGTGTGCTTGCAGCAGCCCCCCGGGATTGGACTGGGGGGTCCCTAGCCTAGCTAGTGACGATTCGTCAGGTGGTCGGAGGCGTGCCCCTCAGCGTGCCGGGCTGTCAGGGGTGGGCCCTCGAGCCCTGGGGAGGACGGGCGTGTGTGTTCACAGCCCCCTGTTCTCACTCCCCAGGTCTCCCGGCCTTGGTGGTGCCCAGAGAGATGGCCTGCTTGTCCGTCGGCACTCATAGTGAGGGAGATGGGTCTGGACAGGTAGGAAGGTTGGGTTATTTTAATTTCCCTCCTATTTTTCCCAGCAAAGCTTGTGATTATTACATCAATCTTCCAGGCGAAGTTTTTACGACCAATCCCTCGCCGACTATGAGAAGTTTCTCCATCCATTACCAAGAGGGAAACAGACCCTGGCGGGGAGGGAAATATTTGTTACATCTTATCTGGCTGACACGCAATCTACCAACAATTACAGCAGTCCCATTTTTTGCACTATTTCAGCTCCGACGTGAAGAATTGTAATATTAACGTGAGGCAGGGAGGGGGCTGTTGGTAGGAAGTGGCTAATCTTCCACGGTCTGGTCCCAGGCTGTCCTGGGTGCCTCCCAGCAAGCCAGTTGGCCGAGCTGCCGGTGTTAATGGCCAGGAATGCATGTGAGGGCCCGGGGCCTAAGGGCTCTTGGAAAGGGGAGTCCCTGCTTCCATTTTCTCAGCCCATGTCTTCTCAACACCACACCTCTTAGGTTACACCCCCAAGGTTGGTTCTTACAGGCCATTTGTTTTTAGAACTAAACAGATGGTGGTGACTTCTTGGCTAGCAGACCTTTCTCAACCGTCTTTCTAAACATGGAGCTCCGCAGTGGTGGGCGTACGTTCCCTGTTGTTCCCAGCTTGGGTTGTCTTTGACCCTTGCCCTTGATCCCTCTGGTTCTTGAGCTTTGGTTTCCTCCTGTGAAGAGGGATTGGTGTGTGGACTTGGGGGTCTGGTGTGGCTGCATCAGGCACTTGTTTATTGAGATGCAGTGAAGAGTCCCGACCCCTGTCCCTCTTGGAGGAGGAGGAGGCCACACTTCATCCAACAGGAACCAGACGGTCCTGACAGCCCTTCCTGGGAGAGCTGGAGGTCCCCTGCAGCTGGACCCTTCAGCTAGGCCCACAGACTGGAGAGGGGAGAGAGCCGGCAGGGGTCTGGGCCTTTTCCTCAATGTCCACTGCTTCCAGGAAGGGTGTGCTGGCCCTCGCTGCCCCCCGGCCCACTCCTCAGCGAGGTGCAGGCAGGGCTGGGCAACGGGGATGGGGGCACTGGTTTCCCGCCTCGTCCCAGCCTAGCCCCGCCCTTTGGCGTCTGGGGACAGGCCGGCTGAGAGTAGAACGGGGTCCAGTCATCCAGCCCTGTTCTGCCTCCGCTTCCTGGGGACAGAAGGCCCCGGGGAAGGGGTGCCGGGGCGGCCGCAGGGCTGGCAGTCGCTGGCTGGCCCCGTCACCCTGGCCGTCACTCACGGCAGGCGCGGTGATTAATGGCCAGGCTGCGCCGCCCGGGCCGCCGTCAGCTCGCGTCTGCGGCGATGGATGCGCTGTCAGGCGCCCGGCCTGCGCTGACCCCGGCCCGGCCGGCGCGATCAATGGGCGGCGCGCGCGGCGGCTGGGCCGGCGCGATAAGATGCGCCGATGGGCGCCCGCCGGCCGCCCGCTCGACACCGCCGTCGCCGTGTGATTAATGGGGACGCGGCGGTGCGGGGGACGCACGCGCGAGCGCACGGGGCCCGTCGGTCCCAGGACACTGGTACGCCGCCCTGCGCGAAGGCTGGGCTCGGCACCGCCGTTCGACCTCCGCCCGCGGGCCGCCAGCCTCTCCCCACGGCCCGGCGTCTGGCCCGATCGCCCTCATTCTCCCTGGCCCCGTGCGCGAAGGCGTACAGGCTGGAGACAGACGGCATGCGGCCGGGGAGGAGCGCGAGCCGGTGCTGCGGGGGCGGCTTCCCCGAGGAGGTGACCGGGGCGAGCAGCAGCCGGCTCGCACCAGGCCCTCCTACCCCTTTGCGGGGTCGGCCGGCCGCGCCCTCCCGCCTCTGCGAAGCCACAGCGCCCCCGCGCGCCGCCCGCGCACAGCGCCTCAGCCCGGGGTGGCCAAGCCGGCTGGCGGCTGGGCCCTCCTGCCCCGCCATGGAGAGGAAGCCCGTGGAGGGGCAGGGAAGGAGCATGCGTCCAAATGCCCACGGGTCAAAGAGCATCAGGGAACTTTACTGAACCCGGCTTTTAATTTTAAAAATCTCCCTTGCCCCCTGCTGTCAGCCACCCTCTGCTTTCCAGCATTTTTATTAAGATTTTTCACCTCCACTCCTTTGCACTTTTTTCGTTTTTATGCATGTTCCCATATATACCACTCAGGGTAGTGTGATGCCCCCCTCCCTCCCTCCCCGAGAGTCTGTTTGGGGGCAGGGAAGTTGGGGGGCACAGCCCAAGGGGGCCCATGGGACTGTCTGGAACCAGGCACTAAGAGGTGTTGACATCCCTGCAGAGCCTTCTGCTGACCCTTGGACAGGAACACACGCCCACCCATTTCCCCTGCAGTGAGCTTCCTGAGGACTTAGCCGGGTGGGGAACTGGGCCCAGTAAAGGCCTTCAGCAGGAGCAGGCCGGGGTGGAGGGCGGCCGTGGGCCTGGAGCAGGGTGGCTGGGTGCCCCAGGAGGCTCCTGCATGCAGTGGGTGGGTGGCCCTCCCCAGGCCCCCCTCTCCTTGCCCCACAGAGGCCTCTGGCAGAGGCCCCCGCGGGAGCTTCCCGGGGCCTGTTTCTTCTCTGGTGGGGTAGGAGGAGCCCATGCTCCAGGAAAGGCCCCGAGTGGGCAGCGTGGGCAGGGGCTCCAGGGCTGTCCCGCCACAGGCAGAGCCCAACTGCCAGGCGGGCAGGGCTGCCACGCTTCACGGGGGAGCTCCTCTGACCGGAGTCTCTGGGGGTCATGACGGGGCACCCCGCCTGTCTCACGCTTCAGTGCCAGCTTCCACAGGCCAGGCCGGAGCACCTGTCCCTCCAAGGGTCCCAGGGTCCATCCTGCCTTGCCAGCACACCCCCTCAGACATTTCCTGGATGAGAGGAGGGCCAGGGCTCCACGTGGACGGCTCAGGAGGAAGGCCCTGTCCATGTGTCATCGTGGACCCGAGGAGGCGGGGTGGACAGCTTGGGGTGCAGCCTCGTCTGGACGAGAGCAACAGCTCACAACACGGGCTCACGTCACTGTGGAAACGCCTGCCATCCAGCTCGATGGAAACTGCTGGAAATTTCTGCATGGCACATCCCAGGGAGCAGCCATCGCGCCTGCCACCGCGGCGCCCAGTGCTGGGGGTCCAGGGCCGAGTGGAGGCCCTCCGAGGCGGCCGTCTGTCGGCAGCCAGGTGTGGGAGGACATGTGCCACAGCCAAGGGCAGCAGCCTCTCGGCCCGGACATGGAGCGCTGGCAGCTGCCATGCTCACAGCTAAGTCCACCGCCCATTCCTGGAGGGGCTGCTGGGGCCCGCATGCGCGCAGCGGCAGACACCCGGGCACCGAAGCTCTCCAGGTTCCCACCAAGGGGGAGCCCTGGGCACCGTGCAGAACTGGGACTCAAGTCTCACACGTCCCCTGGCCCCCCAAAGGCAGCCAAAGCCATGCCCTCCTCTCACCGGCCTCGGCAACAGAACTGAAAACCAAGAGGCCACCAGCAGGCAGCTTGTAAAAAGTTGGCTTTATTTGTCTCTTATTCACCTTATCTCAGTTATGCCGCTTGGGCGTCCACAGTGACAGTCCCCTGAAGTCCGGGTCAGCCCGCCTCCACGACCAGTGACGGCGGGTCAGCAGCCTGAGCTGTGCCATGGTCCGAGGCTGCAGCGGGGCTGCGGGGCGTCAGGTCTCCACGTGGGACTGGGTCGGACAAGGCCACGTGTGGTGTGGTGGGTGCCCCGGCCTGGGGGGACCGGCTGGGGCCCATCCTGGCTCTGTTGCCAACTCGCCAGGTGGTGCTGGGCAAGTCTCATCCCTCGGTTGGTCTGCTTCCTGGGCAGCACGGCCAGTGAGGTCTCGGAGCCCCTGGACTCAGATGGGTGCCAAACTCGCCACCTCTACTGGCTCTGTGCTTCAAAGGCTGCCGTGTGCCCATTGCTGGGCCCATGCGCCCAGGGGGACCCTCTCCAGAGAGCACCCCTCAGGTTGCAGCACCTAACTCTGCTGGTCCCCAAGAGGGGCTTCCCTAAAGGCCTTTGAGAAGGTTCTAATTCCTAAGATCTAGGTCACCTATTATTGCAAACAGAATTTGTCTCAGACATAATTGTCTTTTTGTATCAAACATGGGCGAAACTTGGCAAAAAAGCAATGTCTCTGAGCCTGATGTCACTGTGGATCTACAGCCTATCTCCTCTCTGCTGGGCAGTTCTGGTGACACTGCAGATCAGAGGCATCCTGGCATTGACTTCACTTGTGTTTGGTCCTAAGCACAGTAAAAACGTTCTAAAAAAGTACAAATGGGAAGTCTTCAGCCTAGAAGGTAGCGTGTGGGGCCGGCCACAGCTCGTCCCCTCGCCAGGGGCGGGTGCGGGGGACACAGCACAGAGAGCAAGCAGCGATGGCCAGGGCGACTGGGCCGCTAGCAGCCCAGGGTCCTCCACAGCACGGACCACGCTCAGCCCGGCGCGCCCGCGAAGCTGTGGCTCCCAGCCCGGCTCCATCAGCGAGGACACCTGGGCAGCCAACAGAAGGACGCACAGACGGGCCAGGAGGGTCTTTCTTCTGGAAATTCATCCCTCTATTTTGGAAGAAACTCTGTCCTAAACAACTAACTTCAAAAGGGAAAATGATTGTCTTCCAGAGAAACCGTTTTAAACCAGATGTTCTGGCCGGACTGTGACGGGGACACACCAGCGAGCCACCCTCAGGCACCAGAAAACAGCCTGCTGCTGGGGGCCCGCCTCCTGCCACCTGAGACAGAGACGTTTCAACAACGTTTGTGCTTCTAACCAACGAGACGCTCCGTCTGAGGGGGCAGCCGAGACTGCTGCGGTCGCCGGCAACACTGAGAAGGTGCAAAGGCTAACACAAAAGTGACGTGGACGCCGGGGATGCTGACGGCCCAGCCCCGCCTCTGGCAGTCAGCCGAGGAAGGCCCCACTTCTGCAGTTCCGCTGCCAGTGGCAGAACGAAAAGCAAAATTCTAAACTGGGAAATTTCTAACACTTTTCAAAGTGGAATGAAAAGAACATGAAATTCAAACACACGAGTGAACCGAAGCCTTGAGCCTCAGCAGCGCCTGAGACGAGCTCCCGCAGCGCGGCTCCCTCGTCCCCTTGGCCGCCTCTGCCGGGTCCGGGGCCGCGGCTCAGAACAGCAGGGCGCCCATGCTGCCGACCTCGCTCTGCTCCTTCACGAAGATCTCAAAGTACTGGTAGATGATGGTGACCGCCAGCAGGATCCCGGTTCCAGACCCGATGGCGCCCAAGAAGTCGGCCAGGACCGAGAGGGCCCCGATGCACAGCCCGCCGAAGGCCGCGGCCGTGGGGATGTACCTGGGGAGGGGCGCGCGTCAGCCACAGGCTGCCCAGAGTCCTCGGGAGCCACCGGGCAGTGACCCACGCCCCTCTGCCTGAGGACCCTGACCCCTCAGGGAGCCTCCACGGCCCCGTGAGGCTTCCTCTGCTCAGGCAGCCTCGCGGTCTAGACTAGGCCTTGCTGTCTCATGAGCTGCCACACAAGTCACCGGCGGCTACCGAAATAGGAGCAGTCCAAATCGAGACGTTGAAAACGTCACAAAAGATTTTGAAGGCAGGAACCTGAAATGTCCCCTTATGACTTTCCGCTATAGCTCTCCTCAACAGCACTATAAATCTAGAGGCATCAGAGAATTCTTAAAGGAATGAACGGAACTGCCCAACCCTCTGTCAGGAACGAGAAAATGACCTGGCGTTTGCCACACTGCCTGCCTGTGGTTGAGGCAGGGGAGCTGTGGTCCCCAGGACAGACCCGGTCCTGACTACAGAACCCGACGCTGGACACAGTTCTACAGGAAACCACCACGTTCATCCACTCGCACACGGACCGAGGCAGAGTGAGCTAAGGTGGCTGAAGAGTCTACGGCGCTCACTGGGGCCCACGCGGCTGCCCACAGGCCAGCGCCACCGCCGGGGGAGAGGCCTGCAGACCGCCGCAGCCCCCTCACCCCTCCCACCCGAGTCCAGCCCTCTCGCCCGGCCCGGCGGTCTCAGCCTCCAGCACGGGCCTTCCACGCGCCGACCCCCCCAGCGGCCTCCACCGGCCTCTCTGACCTCCCCTGCACTTGGATGCTCCTGAGACGCCTGAGCCTCCACCCTCCTCCTGGACTGCCCCGAGAACCCTGCAGAGAACCCCCCGCGGGAGCAGGGCGAGGAGCCGCTCCGCCAGCGCCCTCACCGCGCCGCCCGCCACAAGCGTCGGGTCTCCCCGCTCCGGCTGCCCCACTGCAGGCAGCGGCCGGCACACCGAGCCGACCTTGCCAGCATCGGCACTAGCAGGCTCGTGAGTGCCTGAAGACCCCGGGAGCCCCGTCAGCCTCAGGGTCGGCACTCACCGGTTGAGCTCGTGGACCATGGACGTCTCTCGGTGGCCCCTCATCACCATCTGCTGCTCCTTCAGCTGCTTTGCAACCTGTGTGACACCCACCCGGGAGGACGAGGTTCAAGTTCAGACGTGGAGTCCGAGGCCAGGCAGACTCTCGTGTCGCCAGACGCAGGCGCCCCCCAGCACCCTCACAGCACGGTGAAACCGCCGCCAAGAAGGTGAAGGGAAAGTCAAGTTTACTCTGCCTGCTGCTTCCCAGACAAGCGCGGGTTCATTTACCCCGGGCTCCGGCCATGGTCGCTAGAGCTTTGGGACTGGCTCTAGCAAGGACTAACTGCCATGAGTGTGCACAGGCCCATCCCAGGAGGAGGGCCAAGCCGAGCTCCGTCACACCAGCCGCAGGCGAAGATGCTGGTGCTGCATGAACCCCCTCCCAGAGGCTGTAACTCCTACTCACGTCCTTGGCGGAGGAGCCCGAGACCTCAATCCACGTCTTGGAGAAGAAGGCGCAGGAGCCCAGCATGAACACGATGTACACCACGGCGTGGACGGGGTCTTCCAAGACAGAGCCGAACGACTCGGGCGGGGACAGGTAATAGCAGAGGCCACCCACGGGGTAGGCCCGCGCCGGCCCGCCGGAGGAAGTGTCCTGCGGGGATCGCAGAGGGCGGTGAGCGCCGCTCCTCACCTCACCTCAGCAGACACAGCTCTGAGCAGGCGCCCGCCGTGCAGCTGTCCCCCACAGAAACGTCCCCGAGTCTGCGACAGGCACAGCCGGAAAGCGTCTTGGGGGAACCAAACGCTGGCCGTGAGCGAGGCCCACGGCGCCAGCCCTGCCCGGCCACAGCCCTCACACAGCGGCGTGCGGCCCGTCACGCGCTCCCGAGGCCGCTGCACTTACAGACCAGGTGCCCAGCAGGCTGACCAGCAGGTTGCCGCTGAAGCGGGCGGACAGCATCTGCGAGATGACGTACAGGTTGGACACCAGGGCCGACTGCAGGATGATGGGGATGTTGGACGTGTAGAAGAGCTTGATGGGGTAGGTGTTGTACTGGCCCCGGTACCGCGCCGACTTGATGGGCAGGTCGACACGGAAGCCCTGAGGAGCCGAGCAGAAGCGAGGTTCTCACTGCCGCGCTCGAGCCTCGCACAGGGCGCAGACCCGGGGCCTCAACGTCCCCCCCAACCCGCCGCCGCACTCGAGGGCAAAGGGACAGAAGGGTCCAGAAAAGCTGCTTAAAATGCACCCAAGCACAGCAGTGTTTTTGTCAAAAAACAAAGTCCACCGCATTACAAGAACACCAACGTGGAAAACGCGAAGTGCTATCGGTGGCTCGCCAGTCTTCCCCCACTCCCACGGCAGCCCCGGACAAGCCCCATGCCCAGCAGGGCCCTTCACGGATGCTTCACTCACTGCAGAGAAGCTAGGCTTCTCTACTTTTCTGTGAATACAACCTTTCCCGCTGAAACCCTTGGAAAATAAAAGGGCTTCCTTTATGTACTTTTTTTTAAACAATCTCCCAGTGCCTAGAACAGGGTTCAGAATATTTAAAATAAAACCTCAACAATAAAATCCCAAGACCCCAAGGAGCTAACGTGTCATTAACCAGCATCAACTAAAGGAATGGATGTGTTCAGCCCTCAGTGCCTGGCGGCATAAACACCCGTATGTCAAGATACAAAGCGGCTGACTGAAGCAGACAAACACGAGTCCAACTAGAGAAAAGCAGTGGGCAGCTGAGGTCTCCTGGGCAGAAGCACGTTATGCAGACTCACCACGTAAGAGCTGACAGTGCTCGCGAGGACAAGGAAACTGCCCAGAGGCACCTACAGACCTCAGCTAAGCAGCAGCGAGCTGCTGAACTAAGACCGTGAAATGTTAGAGCCGCCTCAGCTTGTTAGTTCAGGCAAGTTCCCGTAAGTCCGTGGAACCCACTCCGTCAAATGCCACCTGCTCACTTCACTGCTATACAATAGCCCACACCAGCCCTGGGGTGTGGGCATGGGAAATCCAACCCTCCCCAGGGCTGGATCTGGACGCACCTGGAAATAGATGACCACCGCAAAGACAAAGATGGTGGCGATGAGATTCATGAGGTTGGGGAGGTTCTGGCGGTAGAACGCCTCTCGCAGGGCTCGGACCTTGTCAGTACGGGTGGCCAGCAGGTGAAAGAGCGCGATGATGGCGCCTTCAAACTCCATTCCTGTTACGGGCGAAGGTAGGCGCAGGAGCTCGGGGCGGCCCTAAGAACCCTGGCGGCCGGAACCCAGGAGAACGGGACCAGCTTCGGGGACCACGGGGCGGGGAGGCCTCTCAGCCCTCCTTTCTGTTCTGCAGACTCCAACCTGCAGAGGGGGCTATTCTTCCTTTTTGAATGAACTGATCTTACTTCTGTGGCTGGTGAGTCAACGGCCATCAGGCATGTGGAAGGGCTCGGAACACCAGGTCTCCCTGGTGGCTCAGCCAGTCAAGAGTCAGCCTGCCACGTGGGAGACATGGGCTCAACCCCTGGGTCGAGAAAACGCCATCCAGAAGTGGCAGCCCACTCCCGCATTCTTGCCTGGAGAGTCCCATGGACAGAGGAGCCTGGCGGGCTACCGTCCATGGGGCTGCAAAGAAGCAGACGCGACTGATCGACCAAGACTTTCAACATCTGAAGAGCTGTGTCTGTGGAGCTCCAGCTTAAGGGGTCCTGCCTGAGGGGCCCAGAGGCGCCCACCCCACGTCCCTCGGGGCTCCCTGGCAGCACAGCACCCAGACCTGTGGCCACGCTGTCCAGACGAGGCAGGCTCGGGCTCTCTGCTCCTCACCCCAACAGCCAAGCTGAGAGGACAACACATGTGCCCACACACGGCTGACTGCTGTCGGAGCTCACGCCTCCCCACAAGAGCGCGCCGCGGAGGCAGGCCGGCAGCAGACCAGGAAGAGGGCCAGGGAGCGGAGCACGCCCACCAGCGGCTCACGGGAAAGAGCAGGAGCGGCCTTCACCGGTGTGGGGACCTATTTCAGTCTAGTGACAAGATTACGTGGGTTCTGGAGGTCAGGGACTGTTTTCGGCCCTTACTTCAAAGAAAACAGTCAAATGTGTGCAAACATTTGCTTCTCCTAGGCCTCTTCTGAGTGAATAACGCATTTAGTGATGAAAAAACCTTTCCTAGTCAGCCATGCTTCCCTGAATGTTCGGAACTTTTCCTTGAACACAACCTCTGTAAGCTGGCGCTGTCACATTCACCGTGCACCTGCTGTGAGCCTGGAGTCCCGTGAGTTCATGTTATTTGTCATTTAATCCTGGCAGCCAAGGGTGCGGCCAGGATCGGAGCTCAGCTTGCGAGTGCCCACATCCCTGCCTCTTACAAGGCTGCCCCTTGCAGAGGCTGGAAGCAACTGGGTGTCGGCCAGGGAAGCCCCGCCCCGCCCGCGCAGTGACAGCCAGGCCGGCCGAGTGAGGTGGGGCCGGCTGTCCCGGCAGGGCCAGTGTTTGTGACCCTAACCCTATCCCTAAGTGACACATCGGTGTCAGCAGAAACCTGTATCTTCAAAACCTCTACATATACACACGCAGAACAACCAGAAGCGCTGTACCTAAAACTGATCCTTCTTCCTTTAAACGGGGGAGCTCGAGGGCTTTTTACCGAACCCTATCCACGGGCACCTCTTCCCTGAAACGGGGGACGTGGGTGCTTTTTACCGAACCCTGTCCATGGGACGCTTCTTCCCTGAAATGGGGGGACACTGGCACTTTTCACCGAACCCCATCCATCTGGGGCCTCACCTCGGCCAGTGTTGACGGTGGTGGGGCTGAACGCCTTCCACACGATGGTCTCGCAGATGTTCGTGGCGATGAACAGGGAGATCCCAGAGCCCAGGCCGTACCCCTTTTGCAGAAGTTCATCCAGAAGCAGAACAATCAGGCCAGCCACAAAGAGCTGTCAGTATTAAAAAATAAAAGTACAGAAACCTAAAAAGATGGCATGACTGCTCCCCAGAGCACAATTCTGTCCTTCCTTGGGAACTAGCTTCTCCGATATGAACCCGTGAAGGCAGAGGGCATGCCAGCCGTTGGGGGCTCCTCTGAACTCAGAAGGGAACCCGGGGCCTGGACCTCTTCTCAGGAAGCTTCTCTTAGCCTGACTCAGGTCTGCTGTTGGGCAGGGGTGGGTGTGAGGGCCTCAGAGGGGTGCGGCCTGGCGTTACCTGTATGGTGATGAGCAGGCAGACGCCGGCGCCCATCTCGGATGGGTCCCCGTACATCCCCGTCATCACGTACACGATGGATTGCCCGATGGTGATGGTCATGCCGAACACTAGAGGCGGGAGGAGAGCGGTGCTCAGGGGGCTGCCGTGAGTCCTGAGGATATGGTGACCAGACGCCGAATGCATGCCAGCAGGACCAAGGTGAGGCCAACAGACCCTGCCCCCAGGGAGCTCGGCCAGGAACGCTCCACACCCGTGTCGACAGAGTGACAATAACGCAAACTCTGAACAAGACTTCGTGAGCCCTCTCATTCCACCTCCTCCTAGATGCAGCTCCTTTCAGTGACGGGCAGAGGGAAAGACTGGAAGCACCACCACCCAGCTTCTTACGACAGGTGTGAACACAACTCAGGGATGTCCGCAACCTGCACACCACACTGAGGTCATCATCGGGGGCCCGGGTTCCAGGAGCGCTCGCCCAGGGCGCCCAACAGGCTCGCACTTCAGGGCACAGCACACAAACGCGACAAGGCGAGCCCTTCCCAGTTTGTATTTAATGTATTATTTAAGGAAAAACCTATCACGCCACCAATTCACTCAGCCCACTCCCCCGCCACACAGCTCTCCCGGAGCTCTCCTAAAGGAGGCTTTCCTTTCTATGGACAGTCTTGTATCCTGTTTCATTCACTACATTCCACCGGGATGCACAATGGAATCTACACGTTTCTGTTGGATTCCACGACGTTACATGGATCCTGCAGCATGGGACTGGGATTCGGCTCCAGCCCTTCTGCTTAGCTTGCCACCCCCCGCCCCGATACACACATTCTACTCCAAAGCGCCTGTCATATGCAGTCCCTTTTCGACTTCTTAAAAGTGCTCAGTAAGACTGAATTCTTAAGGCAGAAAAAAGAGCAGAAAAAAATTTTTTTATAAAGTCCAAGACCAAAGAGAAAACAGCTGATCTATACTTCTGAAAAATAACGCACATACATATTTTAAAATCCTGATTTGTGTCTGAAATTGAGAAGTTTAAACCAGATTAGTCTTTTGTGCTCAACTCTTTAACCTACTAACTTAAGATCTTAAAACATGCTGGTGTGGAAGGAAAAATGGCCAGGTAGGAAAGTGTAATTATTATTTCCTGATTAATACCTGTCAATCCACAGTCAGGCTTAACTTGGTTAATTCTGATGACTTTACCAGTGCTGCTTATGATTTACTACTGGGAAAATATCATTACCCCCATGTTTACAGGTGAAGAAACTGGGACACGAGCTGCGTCTAACTGCCCAGTCACACAGCTGGTACCCGGCAGAGCTGAGCGGAGAGAAGCATCATGCCTCTGAAGTGACTGCTTTAAAACTCCCACAGGAGGGAGATCACTCTGCCAGGTACCACCACTGGCTAGGCACTCACTGGTGTTTCACACACAATATTCAAATGAAGTCTTACCACAGCCCTGCTTCTAAGTGGGAAGGACAGGGCGATGGTGGAGGGCAGGCTCTCCAGCCCGGCTCCCTCCCTGGACCTGCAGCCTTGGGCACCGGCACCCTTCCTCTGCCCGCTCCAGCCCTTCCCAAGTGCCCTCTTGCTAACAGGCCACACAGGGCTGGGGGGAATAGGGAATTACAGCAACGACGCCCCCACTCCTGCCAAAGACAACGAACCCCCCCTGCCCCAAAAACCCCAAGCCAATTTCTGATGACCCAAACTTCGTAGCAAATTCAAATTCTCAACTACAGACATCTGAACGTCATTTAAAACCGCACTTACACTTCTGGGCTCCGTTGAAGAGGGCTCGGTCTTTCGGGGTGTCACCAACCTCAATTATTTTGGCGCCAGCCAAGAGCTGCATGATGAGGCCAGAGGTGACGATGGGCGAGATGCCCAGCTCCATCAGCGTGCCTTAGGAAGGGGGGCAGAACACAGCTGACGTCAGTGTGGAGGAGAAGATGCTGCTAAGAAAATGGTCGCACACAGCTGGACTATGTGCCCCAGCACGAACCCAACGTGCTTCAGTCTGCCAGCAACATTTAACTCAGAGAATTGCCCCCAAATATCAGCAATGAGAGGGTAATTCAACGCATTCTGTTCAGTCTGCCAGCTAACATTCTGTTTAGGAGTCACATGGCATTTAAACTGACTGCTACATTTAAATTCATGAAAATAGATTCACGCTGGTTGTACAGAGATAAGATAGGTTTGTCTCTTCATCAGTTAACAAAAAAGGATAACATTAGAATAATTCCCAGAGTCTGGAGATGAGGGCCATACAATTGTATCTGGTTTCGAGTAAACCTCTATTTCCATTATACTGAAACAAGCTATACTTCCAACTGACTTAGAACTTAATTTGAATCGTATTTTTAAAACGAGTTAATCAAAAGCAGTATCAGCATAAACATTCAAAATCCCCCCTCACCCCAAACAGGTAACTGGTTAGAGTATACAATACACTGTTCATGCATTTATTTCTTTGGACACGTACATGTAACCTGTAGATATGGACAAGACACAGCTGAGAAACAAATTACATATTCTAAAGAATGTTATCAAAACAGGAGAAAGATAGAAACGTCATCATTTCAGCTGTTTAAGCAGCGTTCCAATGTTTCCATGTCTTTTAAAAACCTCTGCCATGGAGACTCATCTTCTGGATACAGGTTTTGTCCTGCATACAAAGCAGTTCTAACAGGATGACACGCGTGGCGCTGAACCCAGCACTCACTAGGGCTGTTTCAGCACAGCATGCTAACACTCTCTCCAAACACTCTGGACTCCATCTAACGCCAAGCCTGCAATGTAACTGCAGGCGGCCAGTCAAGCCCGCGCAGCACGGGGGTGCAGAGGGCCAGCCCTACCTCTGTTGGAGGCGAGGATCACCCTCATCCAGTAGAAAGGGTCGGCGGAGTCTGAGGACATGATTCCAAACAGGGGGATCTGCAAACAAGCAGAGAGGAGCCAGGCACGTGCTTCTGGCCCCCTCGCACCACCCAGACCCTGGACCTAGACCCAGACCCAGGCTCACCTGGCAGCACACCAAGAAGATGAAGAGGGTGATGGCGGTCCATAGCACCTTCTCCTTAAACTGAATCTATGGCAGAATGGAGCAAATCAAGACAAGAAGTTATCTCCATACGCAAGTTAGCAGAAACGGACTCTGCTCAGACGCCTTTCTCTGCTCACAGAAAAGCAAACCTTGGACAGTCCACACTAGGCACCGAACATAAGTGTGTGTATTGCATGCTTTCTGTGTACACGTGTGTGTGCACACGTGTGCTCAGTCATATCCAACTCTTTGTGATCCCACGGATGTAGCCTGCCAGGCTCATCTGGCCATGGAATTTCCCAGGCAAGAACACTGGAGTGGGTTGCCATTTCCTCCTCCAGGGGATATTCCCGACCCAGGGATCAAACCCATGTCTCCTGCGCTGCAGGCAGATTCCCTACCTCGGAGCCACCTGGGAAGCCTTTCTGTGTATAAGGCACAGATGCAAAGACCTGCATATACATCATCTCATTTAAGCTTCACACAACGTAATGTTATCCTCACTGTTTTACGAGAAAACTGAATCTTAGAAAAATGGACTTCCCTGGTGGCTCAGACGGAAAAGTGTCTGCCCACAATGCAGGAGACCCGGGTTCAATCCCTGGCTCAGAAGATCTCCCGGAGAAGGAAATGGCAACCCACTCCAGTGTTCTTGCCTGGAGAATCCCATGGATGGAGAAGCCTGGTGGGCTGCAGTCCATGGGTTCGCAAAGACTTGAACACTACTGGGCGACTTCACTTTCACGTTTGTCTCAGATCCCACAGCTGTAATGGATCTGAGTACAAAGCCTGCGCTCTTAACCGTCAGTTTGAACAGTTTAGGATCCGACCCAAGATCAAAGAATAGAAATAGAAAGTGATTCTGAAATAGACTCGCCCTAACAGCACAGGAGCATCACTTCTCACTTGAAAGGGTTTTGTAATGGACAGAGTCTTGCTATGCTGGAATCAACTAATCTGAAACCTGTGTTTCTTTGTGTGTTCTCCAGTATTCTCCGAATTAAGGGTAAAACAATGCTATAAACACTGGAGGAGCAAGGAGAGCTGCATACTCAGCCAACTCACTAACTACTGGCAGCGTCTGTTTAACACAGTTTTCACATCTCCTCAGGTATGTCAGTAGGATAGGTGACTATTCAGAATCATTTTACAGATCACTGAGAAGCATCTTTGGGGAAGCTGAGACACCCTGCCCGAGGCCCCTCTGCTCTGAAAGCTAAGTGTCTTCATAGCACCTGCGGCCTGCACAGCAAGAATGAATGGCTTAGAAAGGCTTAGAAAACACAGGAGTTATTCTGTGGACTAAGAATATTAACACGGAAACACCTTGTGAGTGAAGATAGTAAGTGAACAAAATCATGTTCTTCAAAAACACTTTTTAAGCTTTGTTCTAAGTGAGCACAGAGCCGGAGCCACAGCTCTCTGGTCAGACAGGGCTACAGCGCCTCTGTGCTGCCCACTGGACAACCACACCACGGTGCGGGGATCGGACACCGAGACACTCCATGTGCCACTGGGGGGAGTCCACAGAACTCTTTCTTGAGAATGCTCCCGCACCCCTTCCCACTGGGAAATCAGGAGGCAGCCAAGGAAATCAACGCCTTGTCAGGCTGACTGGTAACATAACAAGCTAGAAATGATTCTTTATGGGGAAAGATAGTGGACAGGTCTTACAGGACTCCTCATTCCTAAATAACCAAGTCTCCTCTCCTGGAAGCAGCCAAATTCAACAGCAAAACATCAAAAACTGTTTATCCCAGTTTTGCCTCCCATTCCTCTGGAGTTGACTCTCTTGGCAGAATCCTCTCAACCTCTACCGTACCCCAAAGCAATTGTCTCATCTGTCTGGCTTCCTGCCCACCCTTTCTGTTCTATCAATACTGAACACCCTCCCACCCACTGTCTTCTATGCCTCAGCAGACTCCATCCTCCTTATGCCATTAGAATTCCTGTCCTTTCCTTCAAGGCTGCCATCAGACACAATGTCTTCCAGAGTCAATCCCTTCTGGAGCCACTGCTGTACCCTACACAGATTTCTACTGCTCACCCACCACACTCAGTTACACACAAGGCCAAGGTCACACATTAAGAGGCTGTGTGAGGGTGGATCCCAGGCGAGCCTGCCTCCAGAGCCAGGCCCTTTCTACCATGCTGGGGACACACACACAACTTGGCCTGTCAGCCCATCAAAGCCAGCACATACACGGAGATGCAAAGAATGTGAGGACAGAAACACCTTCCTATTAATTAGCCTAAGAACCCAATGAAGCTTTTCTTCCTTGGTTAACAGCTTCGCTTACACTGGCAACTGGGCCTGAAGCCGTGCACGTGCAAAACTCCTTGATAAAGAGTCAACAGAGCTCTACATTCCTATCTTCCCACGTTTTAATGAACCTACTGTAGACAGGGGTCACAATATGCCCTCATTCTCGATAGAGTGAGGGCACATGGAAAAGCGACAAACTCAGTTACACACAGTAATGTGGCTGCTCTCAACTCCCTTCAGCATCTGGACAAAAAGAGCATCTCCGGGAAAGAGGACAGCCGGCGATCCGCTCCCGCTGGAGCGGGAGGAGGGAGAGGAGCTCAAACCGGAGGGTCTCAGGCTCTCGAGGCCTTCCTCACTCAGGCCAGGGTCCTCTTCGGGGCAGCGCAACCCCCGGGTTCGGGCCACCCGAGGAACGTCCACAGAGGACGCTCCAACCGAAGCCCGGCGCGGCTCGGGGGAAAGCACGCCGCCCGGACCAGACTCGGGGGAAGGGGCGTCCACTCGGCGCGTCGGGGCCGCTTCACCGGGGTGCAGCAGTCTCTCCGAGACTTGCTCCAACTCACCTTCCGCTCCGGCTTCTGAATTTCGGGCAGGATGACACAGAAGGGCTTGATGACTTCCAGAAACTTGACTTTGGGGGGAGAGACAAGGGGAGAGTTAGGGCTGGGGGGCCCCGCGCCGCCCCGGGGAGCAGGGGCGCGGGGCCGGGTGGTCTTCCCTGCCGGGGGAGCGGGGTTCCGCCCGCGCCCGTGCTGCCCCGAGGGACTCACTCCCCATGGCGGCGGCTACTCGGCTCCGGATCCCGCTTCGGCTCCGCCGCGCTCCGACTGCCGCTCCAGTGCCACCGGGCCTGCTCTAGAGCGCGGCGCCTAGCCGAGAGACACGTCAGTCCTAGCGCCGCGGCGGCCGCTTCCGCTTCCGCTTCCTGCCACGCGCCACGCCCGCGCGCGTCGCCCGCGCCGAGACCACAACTCCCGGCGTGCAGCGGGGCCGCGCGGCCTGTCGGGAGGGAGGCCGGAGGGGCGGGGCGAGGCGCGGAGCCCGCCGAGAAGGGGGCGTACGCCTGCGCAGTTGGACCCGCGTGTTGGGGCCCGGAAGACGTTCCCACGCCGGCCTGTCCCCCCACGCTTCAGGGCAGTGGTGGTTCGTTTCTCGGGTGTAGACCATGAGCTCCTTAGTGCAGGCCTGTCCTGGGGCCGTCTGAGTGCCTGGCGCCCGGCAGGTGCGCGGCGGCGGGACGACAGGCATCCTTTTGTGGGCTTAGCGAGCAAACCCGCGGCCGCTCGGGGCGCGGGCCCTGCCGACTGTGGGAAGGGGGCGGGGCCGGGGAGTCCAGGGGTCCCTCCCGGAGCCCCGGGAAAGGCGCCGTTGCGAGCGCGGCAGACGCTGCGCCTGCCAGAGATCTCCAGGGATAGGAGGCCTGCTTGGCGGAGGGCTGTGTGAGGGGAGCGATAACGTTTAAGGCTCTTGGGGCCGTTGGGCGTCCCTCCGAGGGGACGCGGAGTTTGGGGTTTATGTCCGAGCAGCTGTGATCGCCGGTGGCGCGCGAGAGGTAATCTGAGGAAGGAGACTCCGTGACGTCAGCATCTGGAGCAGGCTGGCTCTGCTGCCTGGGTTTAGGGGAGGTTCCCGGAGCGCAGCCTGGAGCTGGGCCGGATGGAGTAGGAGGCCGGGGTGGAGAAGTGCTTTCTGCTGCCGTCAAGTCACTAAAGTGTCCGACTCTGTGCGACCCCATAGACGGCAGCCCACTAGGCTCCTCCGTCACTGCGATTCTCCAGGCAAGGACCCTGGAGTGGGTTGCCATTGCCTTCTCCACCAGTATTAGTTTAGGGATTGCTATTTCTCTTTTCGCTTCCCTCCCATTTCTAGCAGGTCTTTCCCTCAGGGTTTTTTCTTAGTTGTGAAGGCCTTTTTCGGAAACCTAACCCGTGGTTGGAAAATGCAAATGCCAGCAGGAGGTGGGCAGGAATTTAAGTGAAGTGACCAGATGTGGTAGCACTTGCTATGCATCCCCCACAGAAAAACGTTAAGTCCGACCCTCCTCGGCCTGCTTCTGAGAGCAGCCCCATCTTCCCGTGCAGGACCCCTTTGTAATAACTGCTGCAGTTTTGTGTCAGCCCCTGGACACAATTCAGCAGGTAGCTCAGAGCTGGTATTTAGCACATGTGACCCTGCACCATCCTGATGGTGAAACTATTGAAACGCTTTATGGTAAAAATTATCATAGTGATTGTATTGTTGTTGTTCAGTTGCTTCTTCAGTGCTTTGTGACCACGTGGACTGCAGCACACCAGGCTTCCCTGTCCTTCACCATTTCCCAGAGTTTATGCAAACTCCCATCCATTGAGTCGGTGATGCCATCCAGACATCTCATCCTCTGTCATCCCTTTCTCCTCTTCCTTCAATATTTCCCAGCATCAGGGTCTTTTCAGATGAGTCAGCTCTTTGCATCCAGTGGCTAAAGTACTGGAGCTAGAGCATCAGTCCTTCCAATGAATATTTAGGGTTGATTTCCTTTAGGATTGACTGGTTGAATCGCCTTGCAGTCTAAGGGACTCTCAAGAGTCTTCTCCAACACTACAGCTCAAAAGCATCAGGTTTTCGGTGCTCAGCCTTTCTTTATGGTCCAACTTTCACATCCATACATGACGACTGGAAAAACCATATGTGTGACTATGCAGAGCTTTGTCAGCAAAGTAATGTCTTTGCTTTTTAATACTTTGTCTACGTTTGTCAGCTTTTCTTCCAAGGAACAAGTCTTAATTTCATGGCTGCAGTAACTGTCCACAGTGATTTTGGAGCCCAAGAAAACAAAAGTCTGTCACTGTTTCCATTATTTCCCTGTCTATTTGCCGTGAAGTGATGTGACTGGATGCCATGATCTTAGTTTTTTGAATGTTGAGCTTTAAGCCAGATTTTGCATTCTCTTTTTTCACTTTCATCAAGAAGCTCTTTAATTCCTCTCCACTTTTTTGCAATTAGGGCGATATCATCTGGATATCTGAGGTTATTGCTATTTCTTCTGGCATCTTGATTCCAGCTTGTGCTTTGTCCAGCCTGGCATTTCACATGATGTACTCTGCATATAAGTTAAATAAGCAGGGTGATAATATACAGACAATACACTCCTTTCCCAGTTTGGAACCAGTTTGCTGTTCCATGTCCAGTTCTAACTGTTGCTTCTTGACCTGCATAAAGGTTTCACAGGAGGCAGGTAAGGTGGTCTGGTATTCCCATCTCTTTCAGAATTTTCCACAGTCTGTTGTGATCCACACAGTCAAAGGCTTTAGCATAGTCAGTGAAGCAGAAGTAGATATTTTTCTGGAATTTTTTCTTTTTTCTATGATCCAGTGGATGTTGGCAATTTGATCTCAAGTTTCTCTGTCTTTTCTAAACCCAGCTTGTACATCTGGAAGTTCTCCTTTCATGTACTGTTGAAGCCTAGCTTGAAGGATTTTGAGCATTACTTTGCTAGCATGTGAAGTGAGTGCAGTTGTGTGGTAGTTTGAACATTCTTTGGCATTGCCCTTCTTTGAGATTGGAATGAAAACTGACTTCTTCCAGTCCTGTGGCCATTGTTGAGTTTTCCAAATTTGCTGGCATAATAAGCGCAACGCTTTTAACAGCGTCATCTTTTAGGATTTGAAATAGATCAGGTGGGATTCCCTCATCTCCACTAGCTTTGTTCATAGTAATGCTTCCTAAGACCCACTTGACTTTGCACTCCAGGATGTCTGACTGTAGGTGAGTGATGATACCATCATGGTTATCTGGGTCATTAAGATCTTTTCTGTATAGTTTTTCTGTGTATTCTTGCCATCTTTTCTTAATATCTTCTGCTTCTGTTAGGTCCATACTGTTTCTGTCCTTTATTGTGCCCATCTTTGCCTGAAAAGTTCCCTTGGTATTTCTGATTTTCTTGAAGACTTCTCTAGTCTTTTTCATTATATTGTTTTCCTCTGTTTCATTGCATTGTTCACTTAGGAAGGCTCTTTTATCTCTCCTTGCTGTTCTTTGGAACTCTGCATTCAGATTTTTCCTTTTCTCCTTTGCCTTTGGCGTCTCTTTTCTCAGCTATTTGTACAGCCTTCTCAGACAGCCATTTTGCCTTTTTCTTTTTCTTGGGGATGGTTTTGATCACTGCTCCTGTACAATTGTACAGTTACAATTAGCTGATATAAATTTTCATATAAACTCAGTGGTTTGTGCTGACAGTTTTAGGACATTAGTACTGGGGAATATGAATCTGCTGTTGTAACCACATCTGAGGAACATTCATGGCACAGTTTCGTCTGTGCCACTGAAGGGACTGTGCCTAAGTTGTTTGTGTTAACAGAATGCAGATTGCTTTAGGAGAATCACTGACTTAAAATTTTGTCTTCCCAGTGTAAGTCTTTTAAATTATAGCAAGTATGCAGTGTTTTTATGCTTATATGCTTAAGATTGTATTATAAATATTAAGAACAACTATCTAAAGTGAAGAGATGACAAAATCTGGATATTTTTAATATTTTTAAATGTAATAAATCTGAGTCTTGTTAGTCTGAAGAACTAAGAAGGAATTATAATAGTAGTCCCAGCCTGGAACTTGTTTTGATACTGTGCAATAATCTGCGCAAAGTAAAACTCGTGTTAAATACATATTGTTGGGTTGGCCAAAATGTTCTTTGGCGTTTTTCCATGAGATGTTACAGAAAACCCAAATGAACATTTTGGCCAACTCAATACATAAAACCTGTAGTCCTGGAATAAAAAATGACTTGATTTTTTTTCAACCAGGAATTTGAGTTAGTGCTTATGACAAGTTTTGGCTACAAATAGTGCTCAAAAGTTATGTGTTAAAAGATCAAAGTGCTAAATATGTGCATTTCATCAGGATGCTGTTAAAACGTGGTTCAGGTGAAAAAATTTGTGATAGAACTTAATTTTGGGTAAAGCAATATGAGATCTAAATTAAGTAATTCTTGTATTTTTCTCAACAAATTGTATTTCTTACCACGTGTCATGCAAAAGAGTGTTGGCCTTTAATGAGAGATGTTTTAAATGGGATTATCACTATTTTAGTTTTATGAGAAAATAGCTTAACTATTAGAGCTGCCACTGATCTAACAGACTATGGACTGACTGAATGTATGTGAACTGCTGTAGTCTGCCAGGCTTCTGTTAACAGAACACCACTGGCTGGGTGACTGCTAAATAAGACTTGTATTTCTCACAGCTCTGGAGGCTGGGAGTCTGAGATATGGGTGGCGGGGGCGGGGGGAGCCAGCACCGTGGGGTCCTGTGAGAACGCGCTTGTGGGTTGCAGACTGCTGACTTCTCCTCGGGGAGAGCGGAGCAGAGAAAGCAGGCTCTCTCGTGACTCCGAGCGTGTGTGTGCTCAGTCGTGTCCGACTCTTTGGGACCCCATGGACTGCAGTCCGCCAGGCTCATCTGTCCATGGGATTTTCCAGGCAAGAATACTCGGCTGGGTTGCCATTTCCTCCTCCAGGGGACCTTCCTGGCCCAGGGATTAAACCCGTGTCTCCTTCATTCTCCTGCTTTGGCAGGTGGGTTCTTTACCACCATGCCACCTGGGAAGCCCAAGATGTGTATTTGTTTAAAATTTTGCAGATGGCTAGAATCCATTGCTGCCACGGGGTGAAGAAACTGCAGGAGTTACATCAACTCCTGCTCCGTGTCTGAAACAGTGGAGCTGTTGGCGGCCATTCCTCCGACAGCTCTGCTTCCTGAAAGCAGTGTGTCGGGACTGTTGGGCACGGGCGGGTCACAGCACTGTAGTCGGTGATGGAGAACAGCTCAGCTGCGCAGGGCACCCACTAGGGGGGAGGGGGAGGCAGCCGGCCGGGAGGACGCCTGTCCGTGCAGCTGCTGTCCAAGACCCTGGCTCCCCTGCTGAGTT